TTGTCACTTTACTTGGAATTATCACTTTACTTGGATTATCACTTTACTTGGATTATCACTTTACTTGGATTATCACTTTACTTGGATTATCATTTTACTTGGAATTATCGCTTTACTTGGATTATCATTTTACTTGGATTATCATTTTACTTGGATTATCATTTTACTTGGAATTATCACTTTACTTGGAATTATCACTTTACTTGGATTATCACTTTACTTGAAATTATCACTTTACTTGGAATTATCACTTTACTTGGAATTATCGCTTTACTTGGAATTATCACTTTACTTGGATTTAGTTTTACATATGTATATATATATATATATATATATATATATATATGGTGGGTAAAAAAAACAACTTGAATAGTAAAATAAGTTAAGGAGAGTGAATAAAGCTTCATTTAGAACAACATGCATTCTATTTCAAATACCTTCCTGGAGAATCTAATCTGAGACATGCAGATGCTGTTAATATGAAAGAATACAACAGAAAGTAGCTTTGACATGAATGTAAGGAGAGCCTTACAAGTGCTTTAAAGGTCGACTATATTAGTTTTATTTGTTTGGTTCAGTTTGTTTTACCAGAAAAGACGCCATCCCTGTATCGCTGCAGCTGCTGGGAGGGGAGCGGTGGTCAGTAAAACGAAATCAAAGCTCCCTCAACCTGAAAGCTGAGTATCCATTGAGCTAGTATTAAAGCTAAATGTGATTCACACAGCCTGGAGTCGGTGATAAGCGCCATAGCAGAGTCCAGTTTGTATTAAATGGGTTGAGGGAGTTGCATTTGGTTTTGGACGGCTGAGAGTCAGCAGGGGAATCAAGATTGATAAGAGTCATTAATAAGAAAGCGGAGAGCTGGTGCAGAAGCGTTCCCACACAGGAAAAACAGACTTGATGACACACAGAATCACATCTACAGATGCTCCGCACAGCATGGATCAAAAAGTTGACACCTCAGTAAATTCATTTAACAAGCTCAGCTTGAAAACATACTCCATTTTGGGTAGAGATCTGCTGATAAGACTTTTCCTGCTTTCCTTTGCGGTCCAACCTGCCAATTTTTAATTCCTTTTTTCTAATCCCACAAACCAAATGCTGGAGGCTCCTTAAAGGAACCAGAAACCCAAAACCTACAATTACCCTACATTTCATTGATTTTAACTGAAATCAAGCTGCATTCATGTATGTACGATTTGTTGAGCGCTTTGTCTCTTATTTTCCGGCGTGGTTCAAATATTTCCGTTCTCAGAAAGGGAAAAATACAGCTTTATACTAAAGCCAGCATTGACACATTAGGATTTATGAATCCTCTTCTCTGATGGATTTAAAGGCCAGATAAGCATTTTCTGGATAAAGTCCAGCTGCTGAGATGAAGGGGCATAAAGAAATGCTTCTAATCTATTGTCAGGTCTAATAAACGAGTCTCTTTTTAGTGTTGCACAGCAAGAAAAAAGAGAATATATGCACTAATGGATTGTGCAAAACAGCAGGTAGGAAGCCAAACGGGGATCAGCGGTGGCCATCGATCACAGTGTGTGCAAACATCTGTTGAAACAGACCCAAGCATCGAGCCGGAGCTCCATTTTGAATTCTTCAAGGAGACCCTTAGTTTAAAGCCATTTAATAAAGAGTAAAATGCAAACATTAAACCAGTCAGAAAAAATATGCGTTGCTCAAATACCTGGTTTCCAAACAGGTTGAAGCCATTGATGGCCTCCAGGGCAGCTTTAGCGAGGCCCACCGAGCTGCAATGAGGAGAAACACTGAGCGTTACAGAAAGCAAACGTTAAGGAACAATGGCTGAAGGAATCTGTAACGTATATTTGATTGCATCTTTGAATTATTCCATTTGCATTCATGAAATTCTGCCTGATTCACATCCTGTGAAATCTGTCAAAGATTAATAAAGCTGGATGTTCTTGAGATTGCAGTCTATTGCAAATAATGCAAAAAGAAGGAAAGAATATAGGAGTGAATTTCACAGTGACTGACCACTTTGATTGCAATGCAGATAAAAAAAACCCCAAAACAATTCACTGCTGATTCCCTTTCACCCAGTCTAGATTGCCCCGTAAATAGAATTAGGTGAGAAACTTTGAGGAAAAGCATGACTTTAATATCTTTGGGGATGTTTCAGAAATGTATTCAGCATCATTGGATAACATTAGATGACTTCTAGAAATAGAATCAGAAAAGTTTTAGGCCATCATGTTATAAACAAGCTGTTTATTCTGTTCTCAGACGGATGCAAACAACCACAAAACCTATGATCAGGCTGAAAAATTAAAAGAAAAACGAGAGCTATGGGATCTTGTTCACGAATGAGGGAAGAAGGGAGCGGGAGATCGACAGGCGGTTTGGCACAGCGTCTGCCATAAAGCGGGCGCTGTACCGGTCTGTCATGGTGAAGAGAGAGCTGAGCCAAAAAGCGACGCTCTCGATTTACCGGTTGATCTACGTTCCTACCCTATGCATCGTAGGGACTGATAGACCAGTGCAATCATCCTTCAACCAAGCAGGACAAGCATGTGCTTAAAACGTTACAGCAGGATCAAATGCAAGGTCAAATTTGAGCTAAAGACGAAAGTTACTTGTTAGCACACATTAACTTTTTTAGACAGTTTTTTTTTATTATCAAAGTGACAGTCACTGATGCATACACCTTCATACATAGTCATTTCTGATGCCACAGACTCCTCCACATCCCTACATGCGGTTTGCTGTAAGCACCATATAATCTGGCATAACAGCAGCATCAGTAAGGTCACCCTCACCATAGTCCTTTAGACATGGCAGGATGACAGAGAGCTCAGAAAACCACATATCAGAGTCAAAGTAACCATTCCACTGCTGCACTCAGAGTATTTGTAGAATACTACATCAGAAAAAGTAATCCAACCATACTGCTGCTGCTACTTGTGTCAGATCGCCTCTAGGATATTCTGGTCAATCAGTGGAAATGTTGCAAAGGTGTGAAAGCTTTTCTGTGTCCCTTCAACCAGATTCATTTTTATTTTGAAACCCTCACTTAACTCTTTTCTTTTTTTTCACGGCCAGTCTTAATGTGCAATTTGGAGCCGTGTGTGCCTTTCTCCCCTGGCTTGTTACCCGTTCCACTGCCACTACAATGCATAAAGTATCCATGGGCAGAGAACCTGGTTAACTATGGAGAGGAAAACATTTTTATTTTCCTGATGCAGCCAAGAAAGTCTCTCAAAAAACCTGCAAAAAGTTAAAGTTTATTTTTATCCTTCTGCTGCAGTCTTTGCAAAGTTTCAAATGAGGCCTAACAGGTGTTTATATTTTAGAATCAAGTCACAAATAGGAAGCAATGTTCATAGTCCCAAATTAAAATAAGAGATAAATAACTGTTAGAAATATTTTATTTATACTGTTACTTTGTTTGTGTTTCATGG